ATCTGACGTTTGGCCCGCAGCTTTCAAGAAACTGTGGATGCGCGGGTCGCAGTCTCGCGCTAGGCAAACGGTTTTTATGAGCGTATGTGCTACTAGCAACATTTTAGTGGTATGTTTGTTTAAACGTGAATACTTTGAATTCCGTTTTCAATAGGGTTAGCATGGGCATTGTCTATTGCCATAAATATATTGTTATATTCAGGCCACAAATGCGAACACACATCCCGATATAGTTCCACATGTTAGGTATCCGTAGGATTACATGAGACTACATTAAGACTATGTAAGGCTAAAGAGGATTATATGGAAAAATTCGCCTAAGGTAGCATATTATTAAAAACAACATGATACCCACGTGCCCGAGTTTTCACCGTGTTTAGATGACAAATACGTCATCAAAAATTGCATTTCTTATAAGTAGTTTAAATATAATAATAGAAGAGCATAGGTTTATTATAGCACCTCTTGGGCACTGTCAGTCTCCTTCAAACATAAGAAAAAACCTAGACCATGCTCATCAAATTAGGCTGCACTTTGACTTCATTGGTTTTGGATATCTGCTTAGTCACTACAGCGCGAATTCAGAGTTTGTCTTAAGTTTAGGAAAACCTGAGGTCCAAGGCAAAATAATAGCATTGTAATAATGCACTATAAACATTTGATGAATAGGTATATTTCTAGCTTAAATTGTTCAACTTTCTCTCCAAAACACATGCCGCACTAATAACACGTGTCCAATTCGATGCAAGGAGAAGTTATAGATTCTGTCTAGAATTAACCGCAAAATCCCCCCAGGTAAGGCCGCCACCCTTTGGACAAGGGTCCCTTTTTCGTTGATGCCAAATCTCTGTGTTTCCCGTCTTTTCGTGAACACCTCCTGCACATCTAGCGTATTTTTTGTGACCATTTAGTTTTTTTTGTACATAGGTCGTGCGCTATATTGAAATCCGTCGGCACACTTGTTCTTCTTTGGGTCATTTCCATACTTGCCGCGCTGTTTGAATTCGACTGGAATCTACTCGTCTTCCCAAGTTTTGACATTTCGATCACCCGTTTCTACCCAAAGTTATGCCTTGTCGAAATAAATCGAGAAATCGGTTTAAAAGAGCAAGTAACCTCCGCTTTCACGGATCCCATTTCCGGCGATATCTTCATCCTTCACTTAGGCTCTCAGAAAACCACAATCCGGAGTTTAACAAATGTGTTAAACTCCGGATGCTTAAGCATCTGACTAGGTTTAGTTTAGATTTCTAAGAATACCGGCTCCATCGTGCTCCCAAAGTCAATCTTTCGTCGACGAAGTGCTCGATAACAGGCAGAAAACGAAGACTACTTAGAACCTGTCTGCGAAGGCTGAGTCAGTCTTTGCTTTCAATTGGCATTTCATGCTGAATACCGTTTGGAAACAAGCTTTACTTTGTGGTCAGTAAAGTAGCCACTTAGCAATTGAATTTGCCCATTATGAATTAGTGCAACCTCAAAGATGTCTTGCTGGCATGGGGAATGCAAATGTCCACGACCCTTCTACGTGACAGAAGTCCACCTTATTCGGGACTCAAACCACGGACCACTGGTGCGAGAACTGACACCCTTAACCGCTCGGACACTCCCGGATTGTCCGATGTCCACAAAAATAATACACACTCAGGAAAAGGCGACCTATCACGTATTTGCAAACCGTTTTCTATCTCCTGTGATAAAAATTTGTCGGAAATACTCAACTCGCTCTCAGCTGGACGTGATGGGCCACCGACCACCAACCCTGATGAACGCACTTCACTGCTGATGTCAGCCACAAAAAAGCTAGATACTGAAATGTCGACACGCTGTGATGGATGTCGAGAACTCACCACCAGAATTTTGAAAATAGAAGTAGACGTCGACGTACTCACTGAAATAATAGCGTCACTTCTTAAGTATAACAAAATTAAACCCCCTGAACACGATACAAAGGACATGAAAAACACCAATGAGCCAAACCACATGAACCTCAAGACACCGGTCAAAGGTTATAGACGTCGCGTTCAGCGAAACAAGAGACAACTCACGAAGTCACTAGACAAGTCTTCGAACTCAACCGAAATGGACGGCAATAATAATAAACAGACAGAGATGAAAATGGCGCTCGTATTTCTATAAATTTGACAAATCTGGATCATGCAGAGTCCGTCTGCACCAAAACAAAACAACGATCGACAACCCCAAAAAAAACCTGTAGAAAGTAATCGTATGGACTTTCGTACGCCAACAAAGAGCGCTAGCAGCTTGTCCTTCACATGTGTATCAAGCTATAATGTAGAAAGTCAGGTGAGGCAGCCAAATAAAGACGTTACAGTATATATCACGGACGCGAGCAATTTAGCAACTGCTCTGGATACAGCCATAAAGGCAGTCGCAGAGTCTGAGACTCAGTCTACCGCCAGCAAAAGAGGACAGGATAAAACCACCAGTTTTTTCCACGAGAGATCACGTTGTGTGGTACTGCAAGGAGTTCCTGAAGCAACTGGTGACACACCGAAAGAGAGGGTGAGGCACGATCTGCTGACATTCCAAAACCTATTCAATGACACGCAAGAACCCGGTGAGGTCGTTGGAATCCAAAAGATCTTCTGTTTGGGACCTTTAGTTAGAAACAACACGGAGAAAGTGGGGCCGAGACCACTAAAAGTCGTATTGGGGAACGAACAACAACCAACTTTCATCTTGTCACGAAAGTCCGGGCTTCAAAACAATCATCGTGGAGTGCTTTTTTCAGCCGGACTATCACCCAGTCGAACGGATAAAAATGAGGACGCTGGTAGAGGAACTGAGAAAACGTCAGAGCGAGGGTAAAGTGAATGTAAAAATAGCAAACAACCAAATTGTAAAAATAGAGCGTTCCTTCTTGTGCAATCATCCAGTGACATTGACGATAAAAGCACCGGCGCTCGGTTCCGACAAATTTCAGTAAATTCAAAATCGACCAGTGGACTTGGTACACCATATGAAATATGCAGGAATAACTATCAGTCAAAAGCACCAGCAAACAATTCCAGACATCTAAACAGCCGAATAACAAAAATGTTGTACACACATGTGTAGCGTTTGCTTAACAAATTGGATGAATTAAAACTCACCGATGCCCATTTCCACACCCACTTGATAGTTTTAACAGAAACATGGTTAAATGCGCAGATAAAAGACGCGGAAGTTGTGCTAGATGGTTTCCAGATTCTCCGAATAGGCCGAAACGAACGAAGGAGTGCGGGGATTGCGATATTTATACGAGATGGCATCGACTACGTCACGGTTGAGTCTTCCCCATTTCGGCACATTGATTGTGAAATACTCAGTTGGTACTTGAAGGTGCCCATACCATCCAAGCCTCCATATGGCCCTGGTTTACAGAACGCCAAGCCAGCGGACGGATGCGGACGATGCACTTATCACCGAGATAAAAGAAATTTGTCGAAGCAAACACATAATGCTACTTGGTGACTTCAACTGTCCAGACATAGAGTGGGATATGATGCATTGCACGTGATCAGAAAACTCCTTCGAACAGAAATTTAGGCAACTGACCACAACTGAGTTCCTTACCCAATATGTTAATGTGGACAGTCGATTCACATATGGACAGCAGTCCAGTTGTTTGGACCTCATCATCGCTAGGGATGATAATTGCATTCTCGGATTAAAATTGTACACGCCCTTTGGCCGAAGTGACCCCTACGTTCTTATTTAAGGAATATAGTCGTTTTTCTGTACTTGAAATTCGAGCTGCTAAGGGAAGAAATGTATGGAAAGGGGATTATACCCGAATGAAAAATCTGCTACAAAAGCTGAACTGGAATGCAGCACAAGGACCTGACCCAGAAAGCGATTGGCTCTTCTTCGAGAACATAATGCAACACTTGGTAAAGAGCTGCTGCCCACTTAAGAGGAAGCTGCGCACTCATCGACCACAGTGGGTGACGTCAGAAATAAAGAAAAACCTTAAATTGAAAAGGAGACTTTGGAAAAGTACGCCAGATGTCAGCAATCAGAGCATTTCTCTGACTTCACAAAACAGAGGAATGTATGTCGGAATCTGATGAGGAGGGAACGGGTTCGATTTGAGTCAAAATTTTTAAAAATATCCCGCAAAATTCAAAGAAATCTTTGGATACGTAAATAAGGCAAAACGCAACCGGGACTGCATTTCCTGCCAAAAGATCGCCAAGGAACCATGTTGTCTGACAACTCAGATAAGGTGAATCTGTTGTCCGACTTCTTCACGTCTGTGTATAGCGAGGAGCCGGGTTTTGATGAAAGAGTTTACCCCCAATTGCCAAATCAAACAGTACCATTAGCACGGTGGACTCCACAACAGACATGGTAAGGAAAACGTTGAGTCAACTACAACCCACTAAATCCCCTGGTCCGGACAGCGTGTTCGCAAAAGTCCTGAATGAACTCTCAGACCAACTGGCCTCTCCGTTATCCAGGATCTTCAGAACTTCGATGGGGACCGGGGCTTTGCCTACCGACTGGAAGAAAGCATATAAGCCCTATCAAAAAGGTGGCAAGAGAATAGTCCCAAATAGTTTCAGACCAGTGAGTCTCACAAGTATCTGTTAGAAGTTGATGGAAAAAGTAATAAAAACGGAGCTGATGCGGCACCTCGAAGAAAACAACATGCTCAGTTTACATCAGCATGGATTTCGAAGGGGTCTATCCCGTCTCACCAACCTTCGAGTATCCATGGAGAGCTGGACGAAATCAACCGACATGGGCTTACTAGTGGACGTCGTGTACATTGACTTCAAGAAGGCTTTTGACAGTGTTCCGCACAGCCGACTTATATGTAAACTTATATGTAAACTACGTCAAGCGAGCCAGGAATATTCCTAGAATATTAGGAAATTAATTAACCAATCACCGAACACGCGTTGATAATTTAGAGAGAACGCGTGGGCTACGGCAACCCTATACGATTTCTCCCGCGATTAGGACAGGCTGTTCATCTCCCCGTGAAAAGCATGGATCATGCGGATAGTAGCTTGAGTTCTCTCACACCGTCGCAGAAGGCCCAATTGGTAGATCAGATGAAAGCAGAAGTAGCGATAGCGAGTGCTCGTGAACTCATCGATGTTTGTTCCATTTTATGTTGTTTTTAACGCATTCAGCAAATGACTCAGAAATGCTTCGATAAATGCGTCTCGAAGCCCGGAACCTCGTTAGATAACTCCGAACAAGTAACTTTTATTTTTAACTTTATCCTCCAGAAATGTGTTGCAAACTGTATGGATAGGTATCTAGACTCCGTAAACCTGATCACAAAGGTATTTGCCACTCGTCTACAGCATGAAGCCGCCAAAATGCAAGGACTGTCTTGACTTCTCAGTTTTTAGTTGTATATCCTATAATTTTTTATACTGTTATAGTTGTTTTGTTACGCAATTTGAATTCACTCCATTTTACTTCCGAGTGTTCCTCGAACTGCCGGACAGATTTGTCTTAAGACAGGTCGAGGTTTAGGATCATCCGACTGTCCTAGAAATAATAAAAAATAACTGTTGACGTTCTTGTCTTTTCCGCATTTCCTCGTTTACAGTCTGAAGCTGAAAAGGCGTAAGGGAGATTGTGTACGCTTCGAGGTGGAAGGGAATGGTTGGTGTTTTTGTTCTGATGCATCCAGCCGAGGCTTCCACTACTGCCGTTGAAAGGACGTCCTGATGTCTTTTAGTCCGAAAACAAGGCAAAATAGCAGAAATCCGTTGTTACACCTTCTCGGCCTTGGCTGAATGACTTCTTCGCTGTGGAGTGAGCCCCCTATTTGGACAAATCGTTGCATCCACCCAGACGTCACACGTTCTTGCAACTTCTGTTGTGCATTTATGTTGACACCCTAAGAGGTAGGTGATGGCCGAGGCCTACAAAGACATGCTTGCGGGTGCGGGAGTGGTCACGACGCTTCTTGGTGTAACATCCATGTGGTTGCAAGGTTTCTCAATGCTTTCCATCATATGGAATTGGTTCGGCTCCACATTCGACTCGCTTCCATCCCAGTTGTCTTGCTTCCTGGATGTGCAGAAACGTCTGTCGTACGAACTGTATTTGACTTCTTGTCTTAAACCATTTTTCAGGCCGACACAAATATGGTTGGGCTCCAGTTGCCAGGCGCGGTATTGCCTCGTCATTCACTACATGAAGCCGGTGCTCCAGCCTCGAAACACTTGTAAACTCTGGCAATGATACCATCTCCTATGAGCGCCTCGGTATTGCATCAGAGATCAGGCAAGTAGGATCACACGACACTGCAGAGGCCGGAGAACGATAAGACGCTGCTGCAGAGTGTGATTTGTTGATAATCGAAGTTGAGAATATACCCAAAGTGCCCATTTCATCGTCCCAACTTGGCCGAGTTCTGAAGATTGAGTCTGCTACTCACATAATGAATATGCACTCACCACAGAGGGCCACCACGCAAAAATCTACCACTACGTCCTTCTCTGCCGCTTAAGAGAATCGTTTGGGCATATCGTTTACGGGGAGTTATCAGCAGCTGACGGTGAGGCAGTCTTTCACGAGTGCGAATAGGTTCCTCTACTATTCTGGTTAGAGATTCATATTAGCGAATATAGATAAGAATATTAGTATTACTGACGCCGTCCCTGTCCCGTCGGCGGTCTCCTGTGCATTTTTTTATCTGCTCCGAGAAGGCGGCCGCCACGCTGCAACTTTCGGAAGTGCCGGATGAAATGGAACTCAACTCCTGAAGCTTCAATTTTTTGTTGGTTCGTGTTGGATCTAGATTTTACGAAGACAACAGATACCCATGTTTTACCGCTGGGGACTGTCCGCTACCAGGGCAAACAAAAATTCTTGCATTCCGGTGATACTCGCTGAAGGTCTCCCTGATTCAGTTCTCGCGTAGTAGGGGTCGTAATAATCGTCTGGAGTATTTTTCAAGAAGTTTATTGAGAATTTCTGGTGCAGACGGATTGTCTGTATCCGTTAGCAATATTTCATCAAGGATGTCTCCTCTAACACTCTGTCTTAAGGGCTAGACGCCAGGCCATCAGTGGCGAGAAAATTTATCCAATGACAGTTCATGTTCGCCATGTAGCACGCTATCGTCATCGGGCTTTGTGACATTGCATAAGGCCATCGGCGTGTCAGCCCTCCGTGTATTCCGCCAAAAATGTCGCTGATCCATAACTGCTTATTCTCAATTCCGAGAGCAACTTAGTTAACAGCTACCTTGCCGATGACGGCTGTACTACCCTTAGCACCTAGGCTCGCCGGTGGCCAGCAGCCAAACTGCTTGACCTTCAGGGAAATCGACTGCACCTTTGAATAAAACTGATATTGCAGATGGTGAGTCAAGAGTTGAAAGTGGTTTTATCTTTCGAGAGTCCTGACTGCATCTGGCTTCCTTTTCCATAGTCAAGCAGCAGAGAGAATAGCCGCAGGGGACCTCCCGGTGTGCGCGTCATCTCGTCGACTCATGTTCTCAAATGCTCTTGGTTTTTTTGCCGCATCATAGCAGTCTGAAAGGTCATGCATCCCTGTATTTACCATCTTTTTGCTCATGTCCTCCTGGGTGTCTTTCGTCTGCTTTGTTAGCTTCTCCATCTTTACTGTCATGAGCGCCGAATCCACATCCATATACGCCCAAGTCAATATGTTTTCCTTAGAAACGTAGGTGTCTGAAGGTCTCTTTTCAACGAGTTTACTCCGACGAGAGCGCGTTCCGGATAGTGGCCCCAAACTGCGTCACATTTCCCTATCTTGCTAACTTTGTTTCCGTCCGAATGTTTCGACGTCCTTAACCGGTTATTTGTGTTTGTGCCCTGCTACAAGGCGAACACTCGCTCAAAATACCTGCTCAACAGTGTTTTTTGCGTTGGTTTTGTGAGAATGACCTTCCACGCATACTCCGCGCCGCGACCGCAGTTCATTCCCGGACTAGGCTCGTTTAAAATTAGATCCTTCGGCAAAAACTCGAACGTTTTATTTGCTGTTCTCCTTTACAGTGGTGACCATCGATGTTGCTCACTGCATTGTGCTTTAAGAAACAAAAGCCTTAGTTATTGCTGTCTCATACGACGTTAATGCTGTTTCCGCTTGCTCCGGTGCCTATGGCACAAAAATTCTCGTGGTCTCCGCTGCTGCCGCTCATCCGGACTGGATGTTGGGCAACAGTCGCCATATAATTAGTTTATGATCTTTTTCCAACTTCGTTTTCAGCAACGTCTCTACGTACTTCTGCTGAAGGTTCGGCGACTGTTCATTTGTCAACTTCGAAAGCTCGCTTAGTTTCTAGGGAGGTGGCGTCCCGCCTTCTGTAATTGAGATCCAAGTACATCGATAACTACTTCATTTACATAGATATTTTGGCAGATTTTGATTAAATCATATTGACCTACTTGTGAAAAACTCGGCGCCTCGGTGGAATTCTAACCTACGCAGCAAGGGGAAGGCTTTAGTACGTTCTAACCACTTGAGCTACGAGGTCCCGCCGGACGACGCGAGCCTACCAGTCATCTGGTGGATTCTAGGTGAATTACTTAGGAAATCCTGCTTGGACAGTCAACTTACTGTATCAGATTTGGTGGATTCCGGACGTTGCAGTAGGTTGGGCGGGTAACTTGACCCAAATTTGATTAAACTTGCGTCGTACGGCAGGGCCTTGTAGCTCAGGTGGTTAGAGCGTTGGTTGTACTGAAGCCTTCCCCTTACTGCTTGGGTTCGAATCCCACCAAGGCGCCGAGTTTTTCACAGTTGGGTCAATATGAATACTTCATTTACCTCGAGCTCCAGGAAGACTAGCGGTTCTAATTTTTCACGACCACCTTTTGTCTAACTGCGTCGCTAATAGGCAATTTATCAAAGTTGATTGACATTACGAAGACAAATAAGTGCTACAGGAAAAAACGCCTTCATCCGCAACCTTTTCGCCGTGATCTGAGAAACCCAGTCCGGAAAACTGAGGAGTACTCGGATGTAAGCAACAAACAGCAACTTATCGAAACCCAACCCGGCATTTTCTTGTCTTCATATGCGGAGTCCTCGGCTTGATGTTAGCGACGAGGTCCAACACTGTCCATAGAATGGAACGGTAATGGCCCGTGCGTGATCTTGTTTGTAGCAATGCGCTCTGGAACTATCACGACGTGTTAAAAGTCGTAGCTTGGAAGGATGCTAAATGGCTGGATACCGCGCTTCACTATAAATGGAGAGTTGGACCCAAAGGCGTACAAGTGATCCCTATAGGATTCACTCGCATGGGATCCAGGTTACCCCTTTTGCGAAGACTTGGTGCACCGTATGGATCTGGGTCCACGTAGCATGCGTAAACGGGCAGTGTAACTTTGTCAGCCACTATCCTACTCTTCAGCCTCACATCCACCATGCTCTGGCGGTTAGGTCGAGTTATTAGAACGGGTGTGAACACAATGGCTGACAAATCTTACCTACTTGTTTGAGCGACCCAAGTATGCATTGATCTCTCATTCCACATAAATAGAACATTGCGCAGAGGAGATCTTAGACTACATACAAGTGACAGTGACAAAACAGCACTAGGAAGGAACCGGTTGCGGCCGGTCTGGTCGGAAGATTGGGTTGATGACCTCTCGTGTGGCGCGGACAGATTCAAACCGCGTTCGGCTGCCTGTGATCAGGATATTAAACACGGGATCCACGCCCTCCTGCCGACCAGTCCCAAGCCGACTGGAATTAGATTGGGTGCACTACTTGGCAAGATGTAAATTTTCAGCCGGCGCCTGCAACACACAGCCGCGGAAACAACCGGACCGTCTTCAATGACGGTGCTGGTCGCATTGTGGGCGCAGGACGATGACCAGCGCGTGAATTGGTTTATAGTGATAGCAGAATTGCGCAACATCTGCCGCAGTCTCCTTCCTTCACCGCCCACCCAGCTCTGATGTCAGGACAGAGCCAGGGCTACTGGGGCGTCTGACAAGGCTAAAGAACCGTCTACGCGTAACGCACGCAACCTGGTTCCCGTACGGTGTACCAGGTTTTCACAGGAACAGTGGACTTGGGTCTCACGTCTACGCAAGCGCCAAGACGGAGTCACATTTATGAGCCTCTGAACATGGCTCTCACGCCTCGAACCAGTTAGCCCACATACACGTACTGGCCACGAGGATCGGATTATTGCGTCAGTCGGCAGCTTTCCAAAACATGGCCTTTGGCGAGTCAGGTTTAAGTGCTGAAGTGCCCTAGGGATGGAATCCGCAAGTCAACATCACTCCGCTCGTCGTTGCCCGGGCCTGCTGCCCCACTGATGCTGCCATTGGGGAGTTGGCAGAGCTACGTTGGTACGTCTGCATATGCCATACACGACCCTGTGGACAAGCCATGCATAAGGGTACGGCAAGGAACATGCTTCCACCTGTGTGACAGGTGTGTATTCTCTTCAGGCAGTGGGTAACGTGGGGCTAGTTTATTTGTGGTCTGGGTATGTGTGGGATGACGGGGGTGTCGAGATGTAATGATGGGGTTTTGACTGCGGGATTTTGCTGCAGAACTTCATGGAGGTGCATATGACTGAGTATACCTATGTGGTGACTGAACGGCCGTGGGAAGTTAACACAATGGTTGGGGGCGCTCACCGATCGTTCTCACGGAACTCATTCGTTCAATTGTGCCTTACGGGCTCTCTCTCTCTCTCTCGAGCCCAACAAGCAGCCGCATAGCGGCGCATGATACATAGGCAGAATGGCATTACCGACAAAGACAAGGGAGACTGGAATGACCGTTTCTGGCTTAACCGTCGTCAGCCAGTCATAACCAACTCCGAAGTGTGGAACACCCGTGGCTCGAACTACCGACCTACTACCTGTTAGACAATGGTAGCGGCGCGCTCACCGATCGTTCATACGGAACTCACTCGTTCCGTTGTGCCTTACGAGCTCTCTCTCTCTCTCGAGCCCAACCCCATCGAAACAGAGAGGGCAACGGGCTCGTGGCCCAGTGGTTAGAGGCGTGGACTTCTACCTAACAAGTCGTGAGTTCGAGCCTCGGGTGTTCCACACTTCGGGGTTGGGTATAACTGGCTGACAATGGCTAATAAGCCAGAAGTTGACACGTATGCATGTTGGGGCTCCTGACATTGGTTCGCCAGCCCCATTGCGATGGGTCCGCAGGTGGTCGACCAGGTAAATGCGTGATGTGAATGTGCAATCGCAGTGGGGACAGGTTGCAATCTAATCCGTATTGTTTGTGTAGGGAGCGATAGCGGGTGTCAGGAGTGTTCGCACAGCCGTTGCTAGTCTTTGACGTCATGGGGATGGGGAGTGGAAGTGATTTCTGAAACTGGAAGAGGGGGTCCTGTGTGATGGTGCATTGGATTCGGAGATGCCCGGTGAGGCCGATCCGTGCGCAGAATGTCCGCTGACATGATGAGAGGCGCCTTTTGATGGAACTTTTGGTATGGAAAATTTGAGATTCGCGAGCCGCTCTATTGACCTTGGCACCGGCAATCCTGTGGGCGCCGTAGATTCTGCTTCAGTCTTCACTGCTAGTCTCCAGGCTGGCCATTCCTGAACGAGGTGTCTCCGGGTGGATTCGTAGATTCCTGTGAAGAGTTTGCGGTGTCCTTGTAATTTTTTTACCCTGCTGCCTATCAACGAACATCCGCGACGACGTAGTCATAAGGTAGCCGCCTGTCGTTAGTCTTCACGAGCTGGTTGCTCTATCGCAGTCGCAGTTGGCTCGGCATGGCGTGGATGTTGAGGATTTCGGTTCGTTCCGGGACATCAGTGTGTGGGTTTTTGTCGTGTCACCTCTGGCTCAGTATTCTGCGGAGACAGCTGAGATGGAAGTGGTTGAGCTTCCTGGCATGTCTAGAGTAGACGGTCCAGGTCACCGCTCTGTACAGAAGAGTCACCATGACGGATACCACGTCTGTTTTGTTCCACTGCAACCGGAACATTACGCCGAAAGCGGCCCGGCTCTGGTTCCTTAGTAATCTTTCGCTACATTGTGGCCGTCTTAAATGCGTCAGCTATAGCATAGTCAGAATTGTGCTGAATTCTCACTATCGGGAGTGCCTAATTATTGTCGATATACCCGCTTTAGTGAGTCGGCTGCCTGTCCGTGCGTACCAATTGACTTGTGAAGGCGAGTGACATTGTGTGCGATTCTGTCTGATGCGTGTGTCACTCACAGAAGACGACTGCGGGACTAACGCAGACTCAGTGAGGCCCATCTAACGTGTGAACTTCACCAATGTGACTCTGTTCGTGGATTAACGTCAGAGCAGTCAGTTATGAGGGGGTAGGAAGTACATAGGTCTCGTCGGAGTATCCGCTTGGCCAGAGTAGTAATCGGCGGCAGGACTTCTATCTGTCAATCCAATGCACCTGACTGATGGCTTGTGACAACGTGGACGAAACAGATCTACATTGTGAGACCGCGCGCTCCATAGGGCAGGTCCTCAACGAATTCTTGAGCCAAACTGCCCGATATTTTACACACACGCCTTGGCTAAACGAGTCGGTGGGAGTCTGCACTGGATCTTGATTGGTCAAGCCTACGATTTACTAGCAACCATACTTCAAGATCAACAAATGTATGGTCAGAGGCTCCATCCTGCACACAAAATTTCGATGGGGATAGTGACACCCACTGACTCTTCATTCCTTCCGAATAGTCAATTTTGCTCTAAAGATTGCCCAGCGCACGTCGGGTGGTCGTGGACTTTCTCCTGACGAAATCTGGGGTGACGGAAGTTTTCTGCTTTCAGGTACAGGCAGATCGCACCGGTATCTGCGCATTAAATGGCCAAATAGCCTTATGGCAAGTTCTAGCTTCCTTGACGATATTGTAAATGGCTGGAGGTCGGACACAATTCCCCTCTGATGAACCTGTGCTCTTTGTACGAACTTTAAGTTACGTAGTTGTTGGAGACACTTCGATAATGTCACCTTGATGTAACTTTAGGTATGTCCCTCAGCGGACAGACTCTGGTCCCGTGCACCAACTGGGACGGCGTTTGACTCATGTAATTCGCTAGGCCTTGTCAATCAACCTTCCCTCGTCCTCTCAAGTAATTTCGAACGTCTTCATTGCTACTTACTAATTGTCAGTACGCGTTGTTGCGTAAATTAACCGAAACAAATGACTGTTTCGATTTTCGAGTTAACTATACTAGACGGTGGTTATTAGATTACTGGCTTGGGTACGGGAATATGGACTCCCCGTATTGTAGGTAGCCTTACCCTAGATTCCAGGAGGTGGTTAGAGACAGAGCTAGGGTTATGGGTTAGGCTGGAGGATTACAGTTAAAGTTAGGCTACGGCAATAGGGAACCCCTTGAAATTTAAGTTGAGGCCATCTGCAGTACTCGGGGGGAAGGGCAGCTCAGACGGGCACAGGACGAGACATGAACCTGTGGCGTTTTGACTGGAAGAGCATGCAAAAAATGGTTATCCCGTTTTAGTAGGTTGTTTAACCTGCAGGACGGGTGGGCGGACCAAAAGGACTCACTCCGGAGGAATTTGATGAGATCGCTAGAGCTAATCATTTCAGGTAGAACTAGGGAAAATGTGGAGATGTTACACATTTTTTAAGGATTAGAATAGTTCCTGTATCCGGAAGGTCGTTTCGGCATATCTTGGCTGAAGAGATTCGTTGGCGACCGGTCAATGGTTGTGAGTCTTGGCTTATGCGACACCCTCATGGCTCATTTCTAGACAGGGTTGTTTCCGGTGATGATAAATCATTCGTTAAGGAGTTTGCAAGGCCATTTTGGTAGGCTGTTGCATCAAGGGAAGTGGTTTAAAGTGAGCTGGTTTCATGTTTCGCATAAAGCATTCAGGGATTTTACAAACGCGGTGTCTTCGAACTCATTAAGAATTGTTTTTTATAGATTGCATTAGATTATATACTTATGATAAAGCATGCCTGAGTTGTATTTTTTGATTGTTCATGATAAAGGAGGAACTTAATTTCGTTCCAACCTCATAGGCCGTCTTCCGTTGCTAGTCGTTACCACGGGTAGGCGTGCTTGGCTACCTCGGTTTAACACTGGACGAATAGAACTGCTGTTCATAATATATAAAATAGCTGAACTTCACTTCTGGTTAATTATTTATGTTCGTGCGAATATATTTGCACTCACTTATTTAGTCGTTTTGCGCTGAAATGGCATTTTCTTTACTGAGCGGCGGAGATTTGGAGAAAAAGGGGGCTTTTCATTAAAAGGATGAAAACCATCGAAGGCGGGCCTCTGATGACCCGCTTTAGTGTTATAAATTCACGTCCCTGGGGATTGGGTGGGGGGTCAAGCAAGAAGAGCCAACCACGTTTGGGTTGGATAGGCGGCAGTTTGAACGTTGCTTCCAAAGACATCATGGGCGTTAAAAAGACCGAAAGCGAGAGGGAACAAGAGTGCCCCGCGTGGCGTAAACCCGTCCCTAGACGTGCCACCAAACCTGGCCTACATGCATACGACGGGGACTTTAGTCAGCAAGGGGGAGGAGGGGCAACTCGGCTCCCAGTTGAGTGGGAGTGCCCTAAAGACCACGTTAAGGAGCCATTGGAGTCCATCTGGCAGTCTTTACACAAAAACACCCTGGGCTGACTGCTAGGTCTGATTTGAATTGTCAACTGGTAACTTCTCCAGTCACGGCCTTAAGCGCACCGTGCTGGCTTAAGAGCCTCAGGTAATTCATAGTGCTATTGTCGATACAAGCGAAGATGCGAGTTCCGGGAAGTAGTTGAGCAGAAGAAGAAGAAGAAGAAACAGAAGAAGAAGTAGCAGAAGAAGAAAAAGAAGCAGCAGCAGCAGCAGCAGCAGAAGAAGAAGAAGAAGAAGAAGAAACGATCGCGGGAACAAGGGCTTTATTTGCCTGACGACTCGGATTCACACGTGAACCCATTATCAGAGACAGTGGCAGAAAAGAGTGACCCGTGTACAGGAAGGTACGGTATTTATAGGATACAGTCGCTATGCTACCGCATACCTATAACAATTAACCGCGCTCCCCATCATCATCAAGGATTGTTGCCCGCTGGTGCGTTAATTGCTTGATGGCCGGCATGCAAGCAAGCGCCAGTGAGCAACAATCCTTCTTCTTCTTCTTCTTCTTCTTCTTTTTCTTCTTCTTCTTCTTCTTCTTCTTCTTTTCTTTTTCTGATCAGTCAGTACTATGTTCTGAGAGTTGATCTCACTCCTCCCTTTCTCGTGCACCAATCAGTTGCCCGAGTCGGTTGAGGAACTGGCGTTAAGATTGATAGAGGTGGTCAACAGAACCAAGGACAATCCACCTGCGCGTGTCACACACACACACGACAGTTCGACCGTCGATTTCGTCGATGTCCACCGTGTGCCCCACAGACTGCATTGTGGAGGCAGGGACGGTGACTTACGCAGGGGTTTATAGTGCCAGTAGACTTGCGTAGCATCTACCTACACTCTCTCCTCCTCCCCCGCCTGAGCCCGATGTTAAGACCAAGTCAAGAAGACGGAAGGAGACAGGGGAGGCCGCAGGTGGATGGCTCGGACGGATCCTCGCCTTGGCGTTCCACTCCGCACCCCCTGGTCCACACACAAATGACCAGGATTTTGACCACAAAACAATGGGGTGGTGGCAGAGGTCCAGTTGTATGACGATTGCCGACAACAGGCTCTGCCAGCGCACCCCGCAAGTGTTGGAATTTGGTATTGCGCACAGATAACGCCTGCCAGAGTACGATGTGGCCCCCGTGTTGGTCCAGCGCATCTAACACGTGGCCCGTTTAGAGGGCCACGTGTGTGTGTGTGTGTGTGTGTGTGTGTGTGTGTCACACACACACATACGACCTGCCTCCCACCCACACACGACGCCAGGATTTCACACAAACGGGAGAGGGGACTGTTCGTATCTCACATGTAACAGAGGATCCACGTGGAAAAGGAGCCGAAAAACATCCTTCCCACATACGTACCTACGGCGTTTGATTTTGGACATGCACCTGTGTGGGGCATGTGTGGATTGGGAAGTGTTCGCGGATTTAACGCAGATTTTCATGGGAGCGGGTTAGGGTGGGCCCATGTGGTGTGTAGATATTCGTGGGAAGTGTGCGCAGCTAGGCCGGCGATGAAGGGCAGCAGTAACTGCTCTAGGAACTTGTCTGTCAGTCCATGTGCAATGGACTCACAAGGCCAAGGCTTTATGTGCATGCGCCGTGGCATTGTGTACAGGGCTGACTTGGAGCTGCTGAGTCAGTTGCAGCAGCTACGGCAAATGGTGGCCGGGCCGGTATGTGAGTAGGCGCAGTGTCGGAGACGGCAGATTTGTTAAATCTGCGGGGTATGCTACGGCGAATTTCGCTGCCTTGAACGCGCATGTGGCCGGCCAGATCTACGCGGTCTCAGTGCCATAGGTTCGCAAGCGACCGATCGGACCGATTCGTGGAGTAAATGTGCGATCGAACTGAGGACAGATTGAGATGGAGTCCACATCCCTGGTGGTGGTGGTGGTGGTGGTGGTGGTGGTGAGCGTAGTGACCGAGGGGGGTCGAGAGCGTTCTTATCTGCTGCAGAAGCGCGAAATGTAGTATTAGTCGTCGTCGTCTCCGCAAGGGTCGCTGTAGCACGATGGAGATAACGGTAGTTGACGTTGGTTGGAGATCAGGATTGTGGTCGTCGTCGTCGTCGTGGAAGCTGGGGGATTGAGCCATGGGTGAGGACTGGGGTGTTTATAGAGACAGTAGGTGAGGTTATTGGGTGCTGGACTGGATCTGGAGATGTACGACGAGGCCACTATGCACGCTGAATGTCCGTTTGCGGCATGGAAATGCTGGGAGGGGTCGGGTGTGGACGTGATTTGGATATGCTTATGACTTGTGAGCCTTCCATTTGACCTTTGGCAGCAGCGATGCAGTTAGCTTCATAGATTGCTGCTCCAGTCTTTACAGCTCTCCTCCATGCCAGTTGGTCCTGAACGAGATCCTCCCAGGTCTTTGGCTTGATTTCCTCAG